CGGCCTCCTGCCGTCCGCCGCCCCCCGCCCGCGGCTCCCGAGCCTCAGTCGGCGCCGAGCATCCCGCTGCCCCGGACCCTCCCGCGGGCGCGCACCAGGCTCAGCTCAGGTAAGGGGGGGCTCCCGCCACGGGCACGGGGGCCGAGCACCAGAGACCCAGAGACACACGGCCGGGGAGAGAGAGAGAGAGACAGACACAAAGACAGAGACACTGAAGGCAGACCCCACGGGGATGGGGAGAGACACGTCCATGGGGGCAGAGGGACACACAGAGACTGATGCAGAAATACACCAAGAGACAGCCTGGAGAGAAACGAGACATACAGGAGACACACACACACTCAGAGATGAGGACACACAGAGAGACAGATAGAAAGACAGTCACACACAAACGCAGAGGTGGATGTACAGAGGCACAGGCACAATCCAGCAAGGGAACAGAGACAGAGTAAGGCAGCCTGGACACACCTGACTCTCAGACCAGTCCCACAGAGGTACACCTAGGTACACAGAGCCTACACATGCCCGCCAGGGCCTCCACAAAGTTCCCTCTGTGCAAGCTGGCACCTCTGGAGGTCCCTTGGGCTGTTGGCTGGAGTCCTGAGAGAGAAGAGGTGCCCAGGCCACACTAAAGCAAGTCACAATCCTCATCCTCCTGGGCCCACCACCAACAGAGGGCTTTTGAGGGCTGGAAGCTTGGTGGGCAGGACCAGGCTATGCCCACTGGTTCTAAGGAGAGTGAGATAAAGGCTGCCTTCTCCAGCTTCCTCACTCTGGCTACACCCACATTCAGGTGCCCAGAGCCAGGCCTGGGGATGGGGTGTTGGCTCTGTGGGGTATTTGAGTCTACGGGGACCCAAGGTCCTCTGCCAGAGAGGCCAGAGATGTGGGTCCTCTTCCCTACCCCTCTCCTCCTGGGTCTCACCCACCCCTCCCTCCTCACCACCCTCTCCTTTGTTCTGTACCCCCACAGGCTCAGGACTGCAGGTAGACATCACCGCTGCCCAGGAATCACTGAGTGTGTGGACAGAACGGCCTCCTTGGAAGGCCGGTCATACCGGAGTCCTGCCTCGGAATGGGCCTTGCCATTGAGGCAGCTCCGCTGTCTGTGCTGGTCTGAGGGTGCTACCCGTCATGGGGGCAGCCATCTCCCAGGGGGCCCTCATCGCCATTGTCTGCAACGGTCTCGTAGGCTTCCTGCTGCTGCTGCTCTGGGTCATTCTCTGCTGGGCCTGCCACTCTCGCTCTGCTGACATTGACTCTCTCTCCGAATCCAGTCCCAACTCCAGCCCTGGCCCCTGTCCTGAAAAGGCACCACCGCCCCAGAAGCCTAGCCATGAAGGCAGCTACCTGCTGCAGCCCTGAAGGCCTGTGGCCTAGCCTGGAGCCTGAGACCTGAGTCCACCCCACCCAGAGCCTGGAATCAGGATCCCAGAGTTCAGCCAGCCTGGGGTCCAGAACTCGGAGTCCAGCCTGCTTGGAGCTGGACCCAGCAGCCCAGAGTCTAGCCAGCCTGGCTCCAGGAGGGGCTCAGTGGCCCTAGGGAGATGGCCCTGGGGTAGGGGTTTATGAGTTGGTGCTAGGGCCAGGGCCATCTGGACTCTGCTCCATTCCAAGGGCCAGGGGCTGGGTCTTACCCAGTCCCTAGGCTAAGCACCTCTAGGCCCTCTAGGTTGGGAAAGCAAACTGGAACCCATGGCAATAATGGGAGGGTGTCCAGGCTGGGCCCCTCCCCTGGTCCTCCCACTGTTTGCTGGATAATAAATGGAACTATGGCTCTACTCTGAGATTTTCTTCTTTTCCTGGGGCCCCTGTGGTAGCAAAATTAAAGTGCAGTGGGTTTCTAGACATAGGTTTATTTGTGCAAAATAAGAGAGGGTAATGGTTGTTGAGGGCTAAGCCCCAGGGTAAGATGCTGGGACCTTAAGGAGCAAAATGAGAAGGGCAGATGCTGGGACTTGATTGGGATGGGGTCACATGCTGGGTGCTAAGGTTGGACTGGGTACTAGAGTCAGGCACTACAAGTTCTGGGTTCAAGAAATTGGACAGGGACTGAGGGCAGGCCCTCAGGTCTTGGTTTTTACTTCCCTCACCAGGTTCAGCAGTTTGTCCAATTTTGCAATCTCCACAGCCGGACCCTTCTGCACCTCCTGTCCCTTCTTTTCCTGGGGAGACGAAAAGTATACATGCAGGGGGTGGGTGGGGGGAGATATGGTAAAGAATGGGCCATCTCTCTCTGCGTCACAGCACTACCCCAGCTTGCCCCAGCTGTGCTCCACCCTTCCACTGCCCAGTACATTCTGGATCCCTGCCTCCCCCCACCCCTACATGATCATTCTACAACTCAGGTGGCACAGGGGCCTGGCTGAGGGCCTGCAGGAAGGCATCCAGCTCTGGTTCTGAACTTCCGATGAACATAGGTTCTTGATGCTGACAGGAGGTGAAGAAGGCATTCATCTCCTGACCCTCAGAGGAACTGCCTCTCAGGCCAGGGAGAACTAGCTCTGGGGAGGTGAAGGACCTGACTATTGGGACCACCCTTCCTGCGGTCCTATCAAGAAGGACTTATAGGGAGGGAAGGGGTGTGAACAAAGCCACAGGTGCCCTCACCTAGTACTCTTACCTAATGCCTTCAGGTCAGGTTGGGAGGGAGATGCCATTTGAGGCCAGGCCTGTTGTGTCAACACATACCTGGGGGATGTCAGGAGCCCCATGAAGGCAGAGGGGTTTCTATGTCACTCCAGAAGTCATCGACTAGGACTGTCCCTCAGAAGAGCTGGTCCTTAGTTTATGATCCCTCACCCTACCTGCAAAGCACTCTCATGCTTCCACTGGCAAATTGGGCCCCAAGAGAAAGGGAGTTGGGACAATGGGGTGTGTGCTGCCTACAGGCCCGGAGAACTCCCTGGCAGACCAGCACTGGTCCCATTTTCCCCATTGTCCAGGCAGTGGCGTGTGGGCTTTGTTGAGGCAGGTTGGGCAGCTGCCATTTCCTGCCTTCTCTCTGCTCCTGAGCCCCTACCCTCTCAGCCACCTGTGCCCACTGCTCATTGGCACCTGCCCCAGCCTTGCCTGCTGTGGGCCCAGCCTGGGTCTGGCCTGGGCTGTAAGGCTAGGGGAGAGTACAGGGCCAGTAGGCCCCTTCTTGGCTCCATCCCAGTCGCTGACACCATGCTGAGCTCAGACTCCCTCCTGGTTTGACTCCTGCACCTGCTCCCAAATCTGTCTCCCCACCCCCTGCAGCACGGTGTCTTTGCCATTATCCAGCTGACCTCTACACTCTCAAGGCAGAAGACAAAGAACTCTTTTTCTCTCTCTTCCCACTCCTCTTCCCAAATTAAGCATGGGTTCTCTTCTTGGTCTCACCCCATCCCCTGGGAGTTAGAGGACCCAGTTTTCAGTGCCAGCTCTGTCATTAACTCCCTGTGAGACTTTGGGCAAGTCCTTTGCCTTTCTGAGCTTCAGATTCCTAGCTGTGCAGTCATTAGGGAAAGATAGCAGTCCTTGGTCCTTGACAAGTTAGGCTCTGATGCCAATCCTGGGAAACTCCCTGAGCATGGAAGTCCAGGCCTTTGTGGTAAGCTCTTTTGGAAAAAGCACGGAATCTGCAGTTCACTGGGCAATAGGGATGCCCAGAGGATTTCCTTTTGCATGAATCACTTGGCTGCTAATAGGTCACATGGCAATTTCACAGGAACCTCTAGTCCATTCAGGTACCAGTCCCCAGCTGTCCCCTGTTCAGGTTCTCAGAGCCCCAGATACCCATGGTCCTCAGAGATGTAGGTTCCCAGATAACATGCTGACCTTTGCTCTGAGGAGAAGGAACAGTGAGAGATCCTTGCCTCACTGGGTCAGAGTGAGCAGGGCAAGTCCCCACCCAAATCCACCTCTCTCTAACGGGGTCATGGCTACACTCCTCACCCAGAGAGTGACCATCATCCCTCCTAGAGGGTTGTCCAACTCTGCCAGCTTAAACCTGGGGTGCTCTCCTCAGTAATTAAGAACAGATTTTATCTGTTCCACAAATTGTGCTGCCTCCTTCCTCCTTGAGGCCAACTAGCTGGGCTCAGCAAAGAGATTCAGACCACGCCTGACTCTCCCCCCACCCCCCAAAGCCCACCGCAGCCTCTGGGCCACAGCTGCAGGCGCTTAGCAGCCTTTCGAGTATTTATAGCCAAGTCCACCCCCTCCCCCAGCTGGCTACAATTACAGGCCCAGCCAAACCCCCAGCCCTTGTCTTCCTGGCCATGGTGGGGAATAGGCCAAGCCAGCACCAGAGCACCAGAGGGATGGTGCAGTGGTCCCTGCCTTGGTAGGACCACAGTGGGGAGGAGTCAGTAGTCAAAAGAGACAGCCTCCTGCCCCTGCCTCAACTATAGTAAATGCCTTAGATTGCAATAGTCATTAGGGCAAGTTGAACTAACCCTGATCCTGGCCCAGAACCTGGAAGAAAGCAAAGAGCCATTTCCACTCTTAGCACACTCTCTTAGGATTGCGCTCTGCGTTCTAAGGCTTTGGCTGGAAGGTCTGAATTCTTAAGTCTGAATCTGGACTCAGGTCTAGCTTTGAAGTCATGGCTCTGGGTTCCATGGCCTATATTTGGGCTCTAGGCAATGTCTCCTGATCATTAGAGACCCCAGAAACAGGAACCAGGACTCAGAAGGACTGCATAGCTCCTGACCTAGTTCCCCTCCTCACGGCTCATTTCCTTCCTCTCTGTGTAGACCCATAGCTCCAGCTCAGGGACCATTGGAGCCGAAGCCCTGTGTAAGCCCAGTTGATGACACAGTGGCTAAGCCCCCTGCCTAGGTAACCTGTCACACCCACAGCATTCTCCACTTCAGATAAGCCAACGATGCTCTCACACGGGCCACCCCAGGCTTCAGACCCACCTGCTTACTGGATATCTCCACCCAGGGGCCCCAAAGGTAACTCAGAGGCAGTACATCAAAGTGCTCTGTTTCCTCACAAACCTGCTCCTCCTCCTATGCACTTCATCTAGGATGGCACCATCCTTACCCTTACCCTGGGTCTCCCAAGTAGAATCCTGGGGGTCATCGCCGGCTCCTCTCCCTTCTCTCATCCCCACTCTCCTGGAGACAGCCCAAACTCCCAAAGCCTGAAAGTACCTTTGGCATCTTGCGTAAGTTGGGTGAGAGCTTGAGGCAGGTGATGTGTCCACGGTCATCACCCACAATGATGATGGGATGGATGGGATTGAACTGCACATGGGTGATCTTGTTTTTCTTCTTGGCCACCACGGGTTGCTTGCAGATCGCCTCATACTTGTTGATGACCAAGTCAAACACATGGGCCTATGAAAAGGTTGGTACTGGCACACTCAGAGGTAATGAGGCCTTTATCCTCCACTCAGAGGAACCAACCCCTGGACCTTCTGGGGAGACACTGCAGAAAGTTAATGGAAACTGGAAAGTTGGGAGAGGGAATTTTGTGTCTGTTTATGTTTTTCCTGTGGTTGAAGGAGTGAGAATAAGAGTTTAAGAGAAATGTTAAGTCTATGCAGAATTAACAATAGCAGCTACCATTTATTGAGCATTTACTATAGACTAGACTCTGGGCAAGCATGCTACATAGTTGCATCATCTAATTATGCTCCTCACAAGCACTCTATAAAGTGGTTCTCTTATTATCCTCATGTTATAACTTGCTAATAAGATGGGCTAACTTGGCTGGGCGTGGTGGCTCAGCCTGTAATCTAGCACTTTGGGAGGTTGAGGCAAGAGGATTGCCTGAGACTGGGGGTTCAAGACCAGCCTGGGCAACTTGGTCTTTACGGTAAATCTCTATGGTAAATCACAAAAACTAGCTGGGCATGGTGGTGTGCATCTGTCATTCCAGCTACTTGGAAAGCTGAGGTGGAAGGATCACCTAAGCCCAGCAGGTCGAGGCTGCGGTGGCAGGGAGTGGCCACTGCACTCCAGTCTGGGTGACAAGAGTGAGAGTCCAACTCAAAAAAAGAAAAAAAATTGATGGACTAACTTGATAGCAAGTGGTCAAGCCAGGGTTTGTACCAGCTAATATATGTACTCAGACAGTGCTTGACATGTTAGAGGTTATCTTTTTACCACACCCTAAGTCCAAACCACTGTCACCTCTGGCGTGAACAACTGTGACAGTCTCCCAACTGGTCTCCCTGCTTCCACTCTTGCCTTCTACAATTGATCCGCCATGCAATAGCAGACTTACCTTTAAAAAATTTAAATCCTCCCACAGTCTCCACTATAAATACAATCCAGATTCCTCACTCTAACCCACCTCCCCACTCTCATCTCCCACTCTCTCCTTTGCTTACTACCTCTCAGCCACATGGGCCTTCCTGTCCTTAAGCCTTAAGGTATTTGTGCAAGATGCTCCCTCCCTGAGACCTGCTCCCCCTGCCCCATCCCACATGGCTGCCTCCTTGCCACTTGGCTCTCAGTGTGAATGTCACCTCTTCAAAGAAGCCCTTCCTGACCACCCCCTGAAGTCCCTTTTCAGAATCAGCTTGCACACTTCCGGGATGGGGACCTCGCTACCTTTCAGATAATACTTTAATCACAGATCAACTCTGGCTCATAAATTTTTCCTTAGATGGAGTTGGCCACTGCCCCCTCTAGCTCCCGCTCCATTAAGCGGAGGACATAACTGCTCCATGGCGTCTCACCCTCAAGTGCTTTTTCGCCAAGGTGAACAACCCCATTTCCTCCTTGAGGCCCCATGGGATGATGTTCCCTCTTTTGACTGGGCTGTGGATGGCCCAGCCCTTGAGAATACACAGTCCTTACATCCTGCCTTTCTCTACCTGACCTGGCATGGGGTGGGCTCTCCAGGAGACAGATCCTGAGATACCTCACCTGATCTCTAGCAGGGCCTCAGAGAAGTCAGAAGAGGGCACATACCTTCCCATCAGTGGTGACTGCTGCAAACACAGTAGAAGAGTATGGTGCCCAGGCCACATCACTGACAGCTGAGTTCAGGTCATAGATGAACATTGGGGTCCTGCAGTGGTGGAAAGCCCATGACAGAGAAGGTTCACAGTGCCACAGGCTCACCGTGCCCAGGGCAGGGTCAGGGGCAAGCCCCTCACTTGATGGTGTGGTCCCAGATCTTCACTGTCCAGTCGGAGCTGCAGGACATGAAGACCTTGGTGTGATATGGGTTCCAGGACACAGCATCCACTGCCATGTTGTGGGCGTCATAGGTGTCAAGGAATTGGCTGGAGTAGGATTTAGAGCACTGGTGGGTGGAGGGAATCAGGAGTCAGGAGTGAAAGGTCAGCAGCCACCTCTTCCCTGGGGGCCCTGGAGGATCAGACCCTGAGACTCCTCTTCTGTCTTATCCCACAACACTGTCACAGCTGAGCTGGGGCCAAGCTACCCATCCTCAGCACACCCAGAGAGAAAGGAAGGGCTTACAGGGCTGGGGGTTCAGGATGGACGGGAGAGCCTTCCTGGCGGGTGAGGGAAAAGTGCTGTAGTCTGCCCAGTGGCCTGACCCAGGGGATTCCAGGCCAGGCAGAAAAGGCCTTCTCTTCCTGAGACAGGGCAGAACTGGTCTCAGGCCCTGGGTGAGGTGTGGCCTGGCTGTCTTCCAGGCCACAGTCCAGACATCATCCTTGTAACAGTGATTAACATCCCACCTTGTCCAGGTAAGAGCAGGTGCAGAGTCAGAAGCAGACTCAGATCTCCAGATTTCCCATTCAGTTTCTTGCCCCAACCAGCATGTCCCTCCCTCCCTCCCTCCAGGAGACCGTGTGACTTGACTCTCCTCCTCTCCCAGCCTCTCCAGGGCTGTCAGTGGGAGGGGTGGAGAGGGGGTGGGGACCTCTTTTGCATTCAGACCAGCTCTGGCTGGGCCTCAGGGGCTCCCGAGAGGCTGCCTGTAATTAACATTCTGAGTCTCTGAGCCTAAGAAAAGCTTGCAGCAGAGCTATTTCTGGATGGATGGAGGTTCACAAGGATGTTCACCTACTAACACTGAGACCTTGCAGAAACTGGCCATGAAGTTCTGTCCTGCCGGCTGGGTTGTACCCAATGTTCAGAGATAAATCTGGCCTTCAAAACTCAGCTCAAGTTCAGATCTCCTCCAGGAAGGTTTCCCAGAATGTTCCAACTCCCACAATTCCCACTCCCCCTCTACCTCCACTCCCAGGAAGGGAGGGAGGGCCCAGAGGAAAAGATGCTGGGCTGGGTTAAAGTCACTCTCTACATTCTCTATCCCCTTTCCTGCCACCCAAGCAGGTCAAAAAATGCTTTCTCTTCTCGTAAAAGGCCTTCTAGAACAGATGAGCACAGAGACCTGTCAAAATACAATCTGTGGACAACTCTAAGCTCCCTGGGCACTCAGGTCTAAGTGACCCTCTAAGGAGCCGGCACAGGGGCAGCACTACCTCACCTTGTAGATTTTTCCCTCCTCTGTGCCCACTAGGAACATGTAGTCGATCTCTTTGTGGAAGTCAAAGGCGGTGCCGCAGCCTTGGGAGAAGAGGGAGCAGCTTTAGCCCAGTTCTGAGAGGGAGGCTACCAGCACCGCCCCTACTCAGCGGGGGGTGAGGGGGGCCTCATGCAGGCTTTGTCAGTGCGGACTCAGCCCGGGACAGACTGAAGCTGGGCCCCTGTAAGAGCTGGGACCAGGCCAGGCAAACAGAAACCAGCCCTCTGGCCTGCTTGTCCCAGGCAGTTAGGACTCTGCAAGCGGCCAGGGGTTCCACAGACAGGAATGGGAGCCTGGGTAAACAAGGCGGGGATTGAGTTAAACAGGGTCAGGGTCAGGGTAAACAGGGACAGGGTCTGCAAACAGGGACATGGTCTGTGCAAACAGGGATATAGTCTGCATAAACAGGGTAGGAATTGAGTAAACAGGGACGGGATCTGGGTAAACAGGGGCCTGATCTGCATAAACGGGACTGGATCTGCATGACAGCACCTGATCTACATACACAGGAACAGGGTTGACAAACAGGGATGGGACCTGCATAAACATAAATGGGGGGGGTGGGGAGGTTGCACACAGACAAGGGCTCAGCAGGCAGGGCCAGGCTTTCCCATTACCTCCTGTCTGGGCGCCACACAAGTGGGGGAGAGAGTGCTCACAAAGGCCCTCACTGGGCCTACATGACCTAGCCAGGCCTGGAGGTGAGTGGGCTGGGGCTCCTACCCACTGTGTGTAGCTGCAACCCCTCAGAAACTTCTGTGGTGCTGCCTTCCACCTTCAGCTTGATGACGTCTGTGTGAACCAGCTCACTCTGTCGTCACAGAGGGATATGGGGGTGGGGCACATGGGACATGGATTGGGCTGAATCAGCAGAGCTTGGGGGGGTGCTCTTTGCCATTTAGCCCCCCTCCCTATGTACCCCTGCATGACTCTTTCTGGAAAACAGGCACCTTCACGAGCGTCCAAGACACAATCCTGCCGTCAGATGACACGGAGAAGAAGTTAAGGTTTTGGTCCATGTCATCCTTCTGCCACTTGACCTGAAACATCGCAAACAGTGAAGTCTGGAACTCTGCTAGGTGTTGAGTTAGGGCTGAGCTGAGCATTGTTCCCCCAACACCTATCTGAAGCTCAGAGGCAAGTTCTGAGTGCCTATGTCCCAGAACCCCATGACTGGTCCTCCCTCCCTTCTTCCACCCCTCTCTGTCTCTCTCATCCCTCTCTCCCTGACCACCCCGGGTCAATAGTGCCAGTCAGGGTATTGCCCTGTGTACTGGCTTGGCAGTGGAGGTACCCACTCCCTCCCTGGGTTGGGTTCTAAGAGACTCATTGTGGAGAGAAGGTGGTAGCTCTGGGTTCAACTTTACACACACATGACCTGGAACGAACAGGGCTCATCAACCACTTTCCTCATTTCTAAAACTGGAGTCATATGGCATAGGCTTGTTGAGAGGAATAAATGATATCTGTGAAACCCTTAGGGCAGCACATTGTACATAGTAAGTGTTCAATAAACGTTAGCTAGGGTCTTCATTATTGCCATCATCTTAGGAATTGGGGTGCCAAGTTTTCGTAGCCACCTTATTCTTGCTGGGTGGGGTGGGGAGGAAAAAGCAGGCCCTCATCCCCTGCCCTCCTCTTCCAGGTTTGGCCTTTCTCTAGGAAGTGCCTCCTCTGTTCTCACTTTTACTTCACCACTAACTCCTGCTCTCAGAATCTTGCTCACAAGTCCCAGATTTGAGCTGCATTTCACCATCTGTAAATCAGGGTTAATTATCCTGCCCCACCCGGCTTCTCAGGGCTTGAAGCAAACATATGGGAAAGTGTTTTGGAGACAGAGCTGTTGTCTTATGAAGATGACACGCTTGAGGCTCAAGTTTCTGTTGCCAGATGTGGAGGCCTGGCCAAGCCATGTCCCAGAGAGCTGGGGTGGGGCTGGGTGCCCAGAGCTTTCCATATTCTGGCTCCCTCCAGACCGCCCATGCTGGGGTCACTGTCCTGCCTCCTCCCCCTGTCACAAGCAGAGGGCCAGTGGGAGAGGCCAAGGACCCAGCTCCGCTGCCTGTTGCCTGTAACCACAGCTGTCACCATGGTTGTTGGGGGGTGGAGGGGAGAGAAGGGGTTGTCTCTCCCCAGCTACCCCTAGGCCTGGCTGATAGGATCAGAGCTGCAGGAGGGAGGGCTGAGTCCTGCCTCGGCCTGTCTGGGCAACTGGCTCTTTTGTGCTTTCACTGGACTGGACGGAGAACACCATAGAGCCTGTGAGGCATAAGTCAGAGCCAGCCCTAATATTGAGACTACCTCCCCTCCTGTGTGAAGGTGGTCCCTTTAAAGGGAGGAGGGAATGGGGGTGTCAAAGGCCAGGCTGTAAGAGGCGCTAGGGAGCTGCAAAGGGAAGTGTTTAATGAGCAGACACCAGCACGCATGGAAATTGTATTTCACACCCCACTTAGCAGCCTGGTGCCCAATGGGGGGTGGTGTGTATTTGTAAGTGACTGTGTGTGTGTGTGTGTGTGTTACACACATGCTCCTGGGGTGAAGGTGGGAGGGTAGGAAAAAAGCAGGAGAGGAAGGGTCGTAAGTGGGATTAAGAGAACAAATGAATGCAAATGAATGCCCAGGGACCAGGCAGTAGGGAGGAGACGGAGACTACTTAACTGATTTCTTCTTTTCTGTACTGATTTGGGTAGACCCACTCAACCCCAGTCTCTGCTCATACATTCTTACACACACACACACACACACACGGACACAGGGAACCTCTGACACAATCCCTTTAAGAAGGACCTAGACTCTCATATCTCTGACATCTCATTCAGCAGCCTGGCTTTCCTTCAAGCTCCAGGCTCATATAGCCAACTGCCTGGAGGACACCTCCCTCAGGGTGTCCCTTGGGCTTCTTATATTAACTTCTGGCCAAACCTGTTGCTCTTCTGCCATTTCCCACTTCTGTGGATGTCCTACTGGGCATCTCAAGCCTAGGCAGTATCGACTCTTCTCTTTCCCCATATCCACTCAACTGTTGCCTTCTTGTGTTTTTTTTTTTAATTTAATTTAATTTTTTTATTTTTTATTTTTTTGAGTTGGAGTCTCACTCAGTCACCCAGACTAGAGTGCAGTGGCTGCTCCCGGCCCCGCCTCAGCCTTCCGAGTAGCCAGAATTACAGGCATGCGCTACCACGCCCAGCTGATTTTTAGATTTATTGTAGAGATGAGGTCTCACCTGCCCAGGTGGGTCTTGAACCCGCGGGCTCAGGCAATCCACTCACCTCAGCCTCCCAAAGGCGGGATTACAGGCTGAGCCACCGAGCCCGGCGTCTTCTAGTGCTTTCACCGCCCACCAGCTCTCAACCCTATCTTCTCATTTCAGTCTCCACTGCCCCTGCCCTTGCTCAGGCTTCAAAACTGCTCATACTATAGCCAGAGGATATTTCTAAGGCACAAACGTACCTCCATTACTCCTCTGCCCAAAGCCCTCTGATGATTGGGCAGCGATTTTCAAACTATGCTCAGGGGACAGGAGTAGTGATATAAGGGACCTTTAAACAAGCAGGACCATATCTGAGCAGCTCCACTCTCTCCTTTTTTTTTTTTTTTTTGAGTCAAGGGTCTCACTCTGTCACCAAGCTGGAATGCAGTGCCACCATCACAGCTCACTGCAGCCTTGACCTCCTGGGCTCAGGTGATCCTTCCACCCCAGCCTCCTGAGTAGCTGGAACTTCCAACATGCCTGGCTTTTTTTTTTTTTTAATTTTTGTAGAGATGAGTTCTAGCTACGTTGTCCATGCTGGTCTGGAATGCCTGGGCTCATGCAACCCTCCCACCTTGGCCTCCTGAAGTGTTGGGATTACAGGTGTGAGCCACCAAGCCTGGCCTTCATCTTTTTAAATATACAGGACTTCCGAATTAACTCTTCCCTCAAAACCACTGCCCCACAATGTCCAAACTTCTTGATAGATAAGCACATAGTGCTTCAAATGATGTGTTGTTTCCCAACAGGGCACTCTGCTTGATGCCCCATGTCACTGCACATGTGACTCCCTTTGTACCCTTCTTCACCTAACGCTTTCTCACTCCTCACAATTCAGCTCAGACATTGCTTCCTCTAGAAAGACCTGCCTGGCCCTCCTGCCCCTGATCCCACCTGAACAATGTGACTTCCCCCTCAGGCACACTTCTCTGTCAGCACTCAGCACACTGCCCTGCCCTGATTTGCCCGTGGCTGTGGTTATCTCCCCACTAGGGACTCCAGAGATCAGGACCATTAAGTATCCTCAGTAACCAGGAGACAAACCAAGAGGAACTGTTGAATGAATGAATGAGTGAAGAAGGGAAGGAGGAAACAAGAAGAAAAGAAGGGAACAGAAAGTGAATAAGTGAGTGAGAGACAGGCGGGTCCCTCCCAGGTCACATGCCATGATTCTAGCCAAGAACTGAGTCTTCTGTTTTGCAAAGGCAGCTGCCCTGTTTTCCTGGTATGATGGTGGAAAAGCAGAAGGCCACTCCTGTCAAGGTGAATTCCTATCTTCCTGAGACCTGCCCAGTGAAAGGTAAAATGTATCTTCTCAATGCCCCATTTTCCCTGCTGCTTGCTATTTGATTCAGAGAACATAGCAGTAGAAACACAATGGTTGGCCTGGGGTTCTGCCCCTCTCCTGAGCTTGAGGAAGGAGGTCAGGTCAACCAGAGATGCTCCACACTTGGCCCTGGGCTATCTGAGCTGGGAAAACAGGAGTAGGGCTGGTACTGATTCAGTCTGAACAAGGCAGGTCTTTTTTTCTTTCCAGGGGCTTGAAAGTTTCTGTGGCTCCCTGCCACCCAGCATCGACCTGCTGGGCTCATGCAACACTTCCACCTCAACCTTCCAGGTAGCCAGAACTATAGGTGTGTGCTACCATGCCTGGCTAATTTTTTGATATATTGTAGAGACAAGGTCTCACCAAGTTGCCCAGGCTAGTCTCGAACCCCTGGGCTCAGGCAGTCCTCTCGCCTCAGCCTCCTAAAGTGCTGGGATTATAGGCTTGAGCCACCGTGCCTGGCCGAATCTGGTCTTTAACATACAGTTGACCCTTGAACCACACAGGTTTGAACTGCACAGGTCCAATTATACATGAATTTTCTGCTGCCTCTGCCACCTGCGAAACGGCAAGACCAGCCCCTCCTCCTCCTTCTTCTCCTCTTCCTAGACCTACTCAATGTGAAGATGATGAGGATGAAGACCTTTATGATGATCCACTTCCACTTAATGAATAAGAAGTATATTTTCTCAGTCAGGCATGGTGGCTCATGCCTACAATCCCTGCACTTTGGGAGGCCAAGGTGGGAAAATAGCTTGAGCTCAGGAGTTCAAGACCAGCCTGGACAACATAGAAAGACTACGTCTCTACAAAAAATAAAAAATTTAGCTGGGTTACATGGGAGGCTGAAGTGGAAGCATCGCCTAAGCCCAGGAGGTAGAAGCTATGGAGAGCTGTGATCATGTCACTAACACTTCAGCCTGGGGAACAGAGTAAGAGCCCGATTCAAAAAATATATATATACTATATATTTTTTATTTTTATGATTTTCTTAATAACACTTTCTTTTCTCTAGTCTACTTTATTATAAGAATGCAGTATATAATACATATACAAAATATGTGCTAATCAAGTTTATGTTATCAGCAAGGCTTCTGGTCAACAGTAGGCTATTAGTAGTTAAGTCTATAGGGAACAAGAAGTTTACACAGATTTTTGACTGTGCAGGGGTCAGTACTCCTAACCCCCTTGTTGCTCAAGGATCATCTGTACTGAGCTGGAGCCTGGAAAGCCCCTGAGGCTTCCAGCTATGGTCTCCAAGTTACTGATCACCACATCTAAGAAATCTTTGGCAGACAGATGGGGCCCTTCTAATGGGAGCTCTGGAGCAGTAGACCCCAGTTCTTACTGGGACCCTCTGACCTCCTGACTTTCATCTTCTGTTCTTCTCTGCCTCTTCTCACACCCAGGTCACTGGCCTGCTAGTACCTGCCATCCCCATACCCTTGCCAGTGACCCCCTCCTCCCCAAGGTTCCTCTGCTTTCCAGACCCACATCCAGCTCCCATTCCTACTCTTCCCCTCTTGGTTTGAGGCTGACCTGCCATACTGGGTCCGTGTGCTTGCCAGACTTGGCTGAGCTGCGGAAGGAGGGCTGGGAGTGGGGCTTCTTGAGGTTGTAGATGGCCACGTTGCCGTCGTAGTGGCCCACCACCACCAGATAGGGGTGGTCCACATGTATGTCGAGACACATAATGCCGCTCTCACTGCTGAAGATGTATTCAGGGAAGCTGGGGTTCTTCATGCTGTAGAGAAGCAGCATGCCTCGGCTCTGCTTCATGAAGTCATCTACCCGGGGAAGAGGGGCAGTTGCAGTTGGAGGACCCAATTGTCCTGTTGGGGAAGCCCCGTTACCCCACCCCACCAGATGGCAAGCCCTGCCCTCCTCTGCCTCTGTCAGCATGGGATTCCTATTCTCTGTCAGTGGAATTGTGAGATTTGGCCTAACTCTTCCCAGTGGAAGGACCTAACAACCAGCAAAGGTGACCAGACTTATTCTCCCTGAGGCACAGGAAAGGGGGACAAAGGCTCAAAGAGTTTCTAAGTGAAGAATGTATGTGAGCTTGGAAAGGAGCGGTATCCTCAGAGGGGGTCCAGATGCCCAGCCCCCTGGCAGGCTGCTGTCCCGTAGAGGCCTGGATGATAATGTTCATGTGTCTCTCCCCCAGCCAAGGATGGGTAAGCTTGAACCAACCTGGAATTGCCTATTATGAGTCTCAAACTAGCCACCTATGAGCATTTCTTGGTACCCTCTGGCCCCACAGTCCCAGTTGCAGCCTGAGTCTTCGCTCCAGGCATACTCCCCAAATCCAGAGGTCCCAGACAAGCCAGTCAAGCTTCTATAGCCCCACTCAGCCTGCCTGGACACAGCTTTTGTGGACCACTCAGCAGAGGTCCTCCTCTCTACCTACCCCATGTCAAGGGACTGTCTCTCATTCTTTCTTTCTTTCTTTTTTTTTTTTTTTTTTTGAGTTGGAGTCTCACTCTGTCGCCCAGACTGGAGTGAAGTGCCCGCTTCCGGTCACCGCAGCCTTGACCTGCTAGACTCAGATAATTCTTCCACCTCAGCCTTCCAAGTAGCTGGAACTACAAGCGTGCGCTACCACGCCCAGCTAATTTTTTATTTATTGTAGAGATGAGGTCTCGCCAAGTTGCCCAGGCGGGTCTCAAACCCACGAACTCAGGCAATCCACTCACCTCAGCCTCCCAAAGCAAGGGATTACAGGCTGAGCCACCGAGCCCAGCTCATTCTTTCTTTCAATTTCTGCACAGTTGGTGCCCATCTTGATATGCAGTCGTTGAGCAGAATACAGTTCCAGCATTCAAGCCCAGCTCTTCTGCACCAGCCCAGTTGTCTTAGCCTCTTCACCAAGCTCAGAAGAGCCAGAGCTGGAGAGGTGGAAGGCTACCTCAGCCATCTGTCTTGAGGGACCTATGCTAAGGCAACCTTTGGGTCAATATGTGGCTCCTCGCCACCCTCCCTGCTCCCTGGCTACCTCTTTGTCCCTGGCAACTACAGGGTCTGGGGCTTTCTGACAAAGTGATCAGTCCTGAGGTGTGGAGGCCATGGGTGGGAGAGGCAAGGAGGTGGCCCCAACTAGACTAGTTTTGTTGAGTTATTCTCTCTGTCTTATTTCTAAGGTTGTCTCTTACTCAAGAGAGTACGTGGCTGGGCTGAGCTCAGGGACAATCTTGGCCCAGTTTTGTGGGCTCATGGCATGAGCTCAGCTACTACCAGGTCTTCCCAGGTATCCCCACCCAAGGCACTCTGCAAACACTAATTTGTGCCCTGAGCAAGGAGCTGCCAAGAGCCAGACTGGCTTTAGAAGCAGAGGCAAGCTAGCATGCCTGCCAGAGTAGCTTTCTATGGGGGAGCCCACCTTCCCTCACTGGGTCTAATCCTCACCAGCTCTGAGACTCCTGTCAGGAACTTCTCCCCTGATCACTTGCAAAGGAGGTCACACATGCCAGGAGGGGGCTGTCCCTTGGGTGGAAGGTGCCAGGGATCAGCCTGAGCCATGGAGAGGGCACGTAGTGGTTCAAAAAATGCTTCTGTTCTGGGAAAAGTGAGCCTCCCATAAAGAGGAGGAGCTTGGGGCCTCCAGATCCCCTGGAGCCAAAGCTGGGTGACCCTTTGCCTGGCTGCATCTCAAAGTTAGAAAGGAGCTGACCTTGATGTAGGTGGGGAGGAACCAGCAGTACCTCACTCTGTGGGGCTCTAGGATGAGTCTGGAGAGTTGACTTTTCAAGGGAGAGATCTGCAGCTGGCTGAGGGGAGTGTCTTTCCAACCCAGATCATGAAGGGTCTGGACTGGGTAGTTTGATAGTCATTTTAGCTCCTTTTGTTCATTAAGCAAACCCTGAGCATCTGATCTGGACCTCCCCTGGGCCTGGCTCCTGCAGGAGCAGACACCTTCTACTCAAGACGTGGGCTTGCCCTCAGCAGCCCCTAGTCTGATGAGAGAGCCAAACCCTGTGCTTGAGTGAGTAATCAATGTACTAACTGCCAGGCCATGGGTAAGCCACTAATGCTCTTGAGTGCAACCAGTCCTTGATGCTGGTCAAGACTGACCAAGGGTGAGTAGTGGGCAGGCAGGTGAATGGGTGAACAAAAAGTAGATGAATGGGTGGGTAGGTTGGTGACTGATGCTCAGTCCAAGGACGAAGATGCTCTCCTTGTTGTACCAAGAGACAAAGGTGGGCATGATCCTCACATTTGCTCTTACTGTGGCACAGGGTCTGGCCCTTGAGGGACAGCAGTGATGACCCACTTTCTGCAGACAAACTCCGAGCACCCCCTGCCCCTGTGAGTATTCACAGAGTGTTCATGACTGGTGAAACCAGGAAAGGAGGATACAGGAAACCCTCAGACCAAAGATCTGACTGCCTTCTGCCTCCACTGTTAGGACCTTCATAGAACAGTGCCAAGTGAGGAACACGGATTAATGTCTTCTTGACAACCATTGGTGGGGGCTTCTAACCCTGCCCAGCAGGTAACACCTCTGGATCATAGGGGGATCACTTCTGGCTTTCTGGAGAACCCTGTGCTCCTACTCAAGATTCAGGCGAGCAGAGGGCACGTAGGGGCATCAGGCTAAAGCCAAGTCAGTGGTCAGGAGGAAGTAGATGCCAAGCTGCAGACACAAGGATACCAAGCCAGCCACTGGCATCAGGCTTCTTCTTTTACTGTGGTATCCTAAATGAGTCCAGCCCAGGACTGGCTCCAAGACAGCAGCTGTTTAACAACTCCCTTATTAAGTCATGCAAGAGGCACTTGAAGGGGGCGCGTGGTAGGCAGAATAATCCCCCACCCCACCCACCTTGCAAAGACGTCCACATCCTAATCCCCTGAACCTGTAAACATGTCACTTTGCATGGCAAAGCGGATTTTGCAGATGTGATTAAGTTAAAGACCTTGAGAAGGGGAGATTATCCTGGATTAACTGGATGGACTCAATGTAACCACAAGGGTTCTTATAAGGGAAAGAGGGAGGCAGGAGACTCAGCAAAGGAGGTGTGCCCACAGAAGCAGATGTCAGAATGATGCAATTGCTGGCTGGAAGGGGGCCACAAGCCATGGAATGTGAGCAGCCTCTGGAAACTGGCAAGCAAGGAGAAGGATGCTCCCCTAGAGCCTCCAGAAGAAATGCAGCCTGCTGACACCTGATTTTGGCTCAGTGAAACCTGTTTTGGATTTCTGACCTCCAGAACTGTAAGATAATAAATGCAAGTTATTTTAAGCCTCTATATTTGTGGTAATTTGTTATAGCAGCAACAGGAAGCTAGTATATTTGGAAAAGTTGACCCGAACTCTACCTTTAGGAATCAGAGAGAGGTTCCCATAGATGGCACTTTTTTCTGGGATGGTTTTAAAGCAGTCCCTCCAGAAGTCATGCAATGATTCTTAGCTCTTCAGATGACAATAATGAAGCCCTTCCTCAGTTGCCCATACCCTAGTGTTGCCACCTTGGACTTCAGGAACAGAAATGCCCCTTGTGTTAGGATTTTCACAGTTTCCAAAGACAGGGGACCAGTCCTGTCTTTGGAAACTGTCCCAAAGAAGAGCATCAGTTGCTAGAGGGTTCCATATTTCAGTCATGGCCCAGAAGCCATGGTGCCAAGTTGGGCGCAGCCTCCTAGGCAGCTGGGTTTTCCCAGGCACTCTCATTCGATTAGAAGTCATATTTAAACAGTGTGGAAATAAGAGCAAGGCCTTGGAGACAGAATACATCAAGCGGGACATTTAATTTGATTTAGGGAAAATGAGGCAAACATTTGAGAACCTAAATAACTAACCAGTAATTAAACTAACAACAGGAATGCCCTTGCACTACAACCCAGCAAGCACAGTGGCCTTTGTGGACTGTATTTACAAAGAGACCTGACAACATAATTAGTCCTGTAAATTTTACACAGCCTGCAGCCGAGGAATGATGGATTTTGTGTGTGGAGGATGAACGGGGAGAAATGAGGTGGATGAATTTCCATTTTCCGTAAATGAAATTAACACTGCTTAATTAGTGAAGCTGACAAATACATGATCAGGAAAGATTTAAATCCCTATGAGTGTGTCTCTGGCCTGGTAGGGCTCAGGGACAGGTCAGGACATGGGGGGACAGCGTGGGAATGGGTTTAGTGCTTTGACTCAGAGCCTAACGTTGGCCCCTTTTGAGAGCACTGTCCCTGGAGGGAGGCTGGGGTGAGGGACAGCCAGCTCTCCTGCCCTCCTGTTATGTGGCACTCTGGGTAGCTTCCTGCCTCATCTCCTGTGTGATGGCCTCAGGCCCACACAGAGCATCCAGTACTCATGCCTGGAAGACCATGAGGAGCCCCTATTTTCCTGCTATGAACTGGCTAATAGGCTAGAGATGACCCCTTCAGTACAGCAGGCTGGCATAATTGCATCCCAGCAGTCCCAAGGCCATCTCCCGGTGGACTGGCTCCCTTTACCTTCCAACCTTCCCTAACCTGCTTTCACAGGCCGGTAACCCTTTCCTCCTCTCTGCTGGGAATGTGGACTTGGCCCTGGGGGTGAGGTGGTACTCCAATCTCTGCTTTTTTTTTGAGTTGGAATCTCACTGTCGCCCAGACTGGAGTACAGTGGCCACTCCCGGCCACCACAGCTTCAACCTGCTGGGCTCCGGCGATCCTTCCGCCTCAGCCTTCCAAGTAACTGGAACTACAGGCACACGCTACCACGCCTGGCTAATATTTTGATTTATTGTAGAGATGAGGTCTCGCCAGCCCAGGCAGGTCTCGAACCCGCGGGCTCAGGCAATCCACTCACCTCAGCCTCCCAAAGGCGCCGGATTACAGGCTGAGCCACCAAGCCCAGCCAATCTCTGCTCTTTAAGTAGCCTGACATGCCCACCACCTGATACCCAGTAGCCAGAGCGGGGAGGCACATGGAAATGCTTCTGTGCCGCTGCAAGCAAGTGCCTATGCTCCCCTTTCCCCACTCACTTGCTTCTGACTTGGCTCCAACCATCGTGACATGTCCCCAAAATCAGGGATTAGCCCCAGGCCTTCCCAGGGTACATACCTACTCCTGCCAAAATTTTATTTGGTTGAATCACAGAATAAACATCTGGGAATTCCAGACAAAAGGAGGTTTATAAAGTCTGTACTGTGCTCACCAGGGTCAACAAACCAAATTCTCACCCCAATGTTTGTTCTCATGAGGCAAATCTAATTATGGGAGTTTGGTATCTGGGAGCTCCCAAAGACAGAGTAATGGTTGCTGGTGGAACCAACTGCTCACAAAGACCCCATCCAGCAACGAGGGCACCCCTCGGCCTGCCTTGGCTGTGTGTCCTCTTTCTTCCTGGGCATTCATGAGCATGGGGCTCCCAGGGGCAACCCCAGGAGTGGACGCAGGGGCCTTTCTGAGTCCCAGTGCAGCCTGGCTCTGTTCAGGCCTTTGCAGGTGGTTCTGAGGTTCTCTGGAAGTAGATGCTCATCTATTGCAAGTTGGCCAACACTCCTGAGCCAGTGATAGCAACAGCAAATGCCACTGCATGGACCCTGCTCCATAAGAGAGATTCTCCTTTGTCCCCACAGCCCCCTTTCCCTGCTCAGGCTCTCCAAGGGTACTGAGGGTACTGCATGAAAGCTAGTGGAAAGAATGACAGGCAAGTCCGCAGTGATTGTGCTGTGTGTAGGTGGTTCTCACAGCTCCAAGGCATGTTTATGTCTTTTCTCTCAAGTGTGCCTCACAACAGCCCTGGGATAGAGGCCTGGCAAGTGGTCAGGTTCTCCATGTCACTAGTGAGGAAACCAAAGCTCACAGAGGCTTCTGGCCCCAGGTCCACCACTGGGCAGTGACCCTCCAGAAGAATGTCTGTTGCTGATGATGGGCCCCACTCAGGCATGTGGACAAAGAGACCATTTATGGGTAGATGCCTGCCCACAGGAGGCTGCTGGGTCTTTCAGGCTTGAGGTCATCTGTTTGTGGGAGGTAAGTTACTCTTCTCTACTGCTTGTAAGGCTGTCCCCCATCCCCACAGACAGCTTCACATGACCCTGACCAGATGACCCTGCTTCTGACGACCCTGGGTGAGAGGAGGATGAGGCTAGAACCCAAGCAGCTTCTCTTCCCACCTTCTGGGAAACCCCACCCCCACCTCTACCTCAGTCCTCGGCAGAGAGCCTGACTGAGAGCAGCCTCACAGGGGGTCCACACCCACTCCTGGGAGGGCCTGCCCAACCCCCAGGCCCTGTTCCAGGCCCAGTAGCTGCAGCAGAGGGGGAGGAATGTGCTAGTTCCCTGCCAGAGGGGGAGGGTGCTTCCCGTTTGGCAGCAACCCACCCTCAGGAGTGGGAACACAAAGCAGGCATTTAGGGCATCCTCAAAGGCAGCCCAGACCACAAGACTGGGAGCAGCTCCAAGGTCTCCTCCCTGAGAGGAATGACAAACAGCACCTCCTCCTCACCCTCCCTGGTCCCCACCCTGGTCAAAGAATGGGCGGACAGGCCGCCTGAGGGGCAGAGACCAAGGGCTTGTGTGCCTGCCAGCCAGAAGCAGCTTGGAGAACGGAAAGGTTTTTCTGTTTGCAGAAGCTGATAGCTGTTAGCTTTGGGGAGCCGTGACTAGTGTGAAGTGTAGGGAGGGCCTTATCCTGTTGGGAATATCCAGGCCAGCACAGCGGCTGGGGCCTCTGCTGGGACCAAGTAACAGCAAGGGCAAGAAAACTGCCCAACAGGGAAGCTGCTTCCCTTCCTCGGGTGGGTAACTGGCAAGGGCGGAACGCTCTGGACAAGAGCGGTCTCCCACGGCTCAGGGGCCAGAGGATGAATGCACTTCAAGAACTGGCTCCCGTCCCCCAGCCCCACTCACCTGATCAGGAAAACCTGATGAGGAGACATGGAGGGGGCCCTCCATCCCACTCTACAGTTGTGGTTAAGATCCTGCCGTCTCTCCTTAGGATGTCTGCAACAGACTCCTAACTGGCTTTCCAGCCTCCAGTCGCATGCATGTAATTTCTCCCTGCACGGGTTGTCGTGTCCCTGTTCTTCTTGAATTCCTTCAGTGGTTTCCCCTCAGGAGAAGGTGCAGTCTTCTTGGAATGGCTTTGATGGCTGACGCTGGCCCCCTTGATGGCTTCATTTCCTGTCATATTTTTCATGCCTCCAGACCTTTGCATATGAGTGTCCCTCTGCCAGAAGGGTTCTTCCCTCTTTCTTCACCAAAATAACGCCTTCAAGGCTCAGCTGGCATATTCAGCTTGGCATATTCCTTCACCCTACTCTATTTACCAGTATGATTGTGTGTCTTCCACATAAGGCTAGGAACCCCCCTGAGGACAATGATTCTGTCCTAGTCTTAGTCATCTTTGTATTTCATACACCTGTCAAAGACCTCTGCAAAAGTAGGTACTTAGTGCTTGCTGTTTGCATGAATAAATAGCTAGATCACTTACATGAGCCATGTCCCACTGCAAACAGATCTCTGTACTTTGGATTCCTGCAAAAGAAATATGAACCCATTGGTACAGGACACGAACATAGCCCTCCCAAGGACAAGGGCTTTCCCATGGACATCGGTGCCTAACTATACTGCAGACGTCTACTCTCCAGCTTAGGCCCTCACCAACTGGGAGATCTGAAGGTGACCCTGTAGCCCATAAGAACCCCATTCCCATTTTTCCCCCTATACTGTCATACTTAAGGTAAGAGCAGTAGAAGGGGCTACCGGGGCCTTGGTATGTAGAGGGCAGGAAGGGGGCTCTGGGTTTGCTGCAATGCCGATACTCACCAGCAGAGGGCGGTGACGGCCAGGCGCTTGGCTTTGTCGTTTTGGAACTTCCAGAGAGGCAGCAGGGTGCCCTCCTGGTCCCGGAATTCATCAGCAGCTTCCTCGTAGTACTTAAAATCTTAAGCACACACAGGCAGAGTTATCCCTGGAACTGCAGCTTTATGGCAAACCCAGGTCCGCTACTTATTGTCCGTATCTCCTTGGGCAAAACAATGTACCTCTGTGTTTCAGAGTGGGAATAATAGTACCTGTCTCAAAGGACTGTTTTGAGGATATGTTGACTGATTTAATATATGCCAAAAGTTTAGAAAAATGCCTATAGAGGCACATAGTAAGCTCTATGTGTCAGTTATGGTTACTGTCATTGTTGTTGCTGGAGGTAAATTACAATAAAGCAGCAGCCATGTCCACATGGATAAAATCTCAGTCCCTATGAGTTTCCCTAGCACTTCAGAAGGCTCAATTTGGAGCAAATTTCAGAGGTTCAGCTGCCAGGGGTTGATTAGCAGTTTTCTTCATTCTGACTCCTAAATCCCTAAAATGCAGCCCATCTTCACATTCACTGCCAAGCCTCACTATCATGAAGCTGCCTGGGTCCCCCAGAGGGTCCCCAAACTCAGCTTCATCTCCTGCCTGGAAAATTGTCTCTGCCTCCCATTTTCTCCAAGTGAGGTAGAATCCCCAACCTTCCACTTGTCTAAACCGGAAACCTGGGTAATCCTTGACTGATCTCTTCCCACTATTTCTCATATTTCCCTTCTGATTATCTTTTTCATCCAGGTGCAGGCGCCATATCCATCCCATGGATGACTACATTCTTCTAACTGCCTCCAGTGTTTCCTCCTCCAGCCCATGTTCCACAGAGTACTAAAAGTTCCACGTCACCTCACCACATTCCTTTCCCCAACCCGCTGAAACCCCCTCAATGGCTTTCCTCGCACAGGGGCTCCCTGGTCAAACCAAGGCTCTTGGTCACCACTTCTACGTCATTTCTAGCCAGCTGTCCACATACCCTCTACATCCAAGGGTGCCAATGAATCAAGTTGTCACAGGTTTTTTAGTGTTTCTATATGGTTTTCTATATCTAAAATGTCCTGTTCTTCCTGGAAAACTCCTACTCACCCTGGATCCAGATCAAACTCCCTCTCCTCTGTAAGGCCTTCACTTTCTTTGGAGAAGAATTAATTTCTTTTTTTGTTCCAGTCCTGCTTCTCCTCTACTGAAACACCTGCCACACTGTGTTGCCTCTATTTATCCTTTTGTCTATCTCCCCCACTGGTCAGATCCTGGAGGAATCATGTTATATTCATCTGTGGTTCCTCAGTGCCTAGCACAGGGCAAGCCACAGACACTCAACAACTGTTTAAAGAATACAGTGGAGCCGGGCTCAGTGGCTCAGCCTGTAATCCTGCGCCTTTGGGAGGCGTTCACGACCCGCCCGGGCAATTTGGCGAGACCTCATCTATACAATAAATCAAAATGAGCCGGGTGTGGTAGCGCGCGCCTGTAGTTCCAGCTACTCGGAAGGCTGAGGCGGAAGGATCGCTGGAGCCCAGCAGGTCGAGGCTGCGGTGGCCGGGAGCGGCCACTGCACTCCAGTCTGGGTGACAGAGTGAGACTCCAACTCAAAAAAAAAAAAAGAATACAGTGAAATAAATCATCAGAAGTGAAATGGCTCTCGGTCTCCTTTCCAACGAAGAGTGACCAATTAGAAAATGAATCCTCTCATTTAATACAGTCAAGGACATGCCCAGGCATTTGCCCCAGCCTCTCCCACAGTGCCCACACCTTGAGGTTGTGGGACTACACTCAAACCTCAGAACTGTCTCAGAACAAAAAAGATTCGAGTGGTCAGAGAGGCGTGAGCCTTGATCACATCAGCAGTTCCCCAGCTTGGGTTCTCTTTGAAAATTACTTCATCTCAGCTGGGCTCAGTGGTTCAGCCTGTAATCCCGCGCCTTTGGGAGGCGTTCACGACCCGCCCGGGCAATTTGGCGAGACCTCATCTATACAATAAATCAAAATGAGCCGGGTGTGGTAGCGCGCGCCTGTAGTTCCAGCTACTCGGAAGGCTGAGGCGGAAGGATCGCTGGAGCCCAGCAGGTCGAGGCTGCGGTGGCCGGGAGCGGCCACTGCACTCCAGTCTGGGTGACAGAGTGAGACTCCAACTCAAAAAAAAAAAAAGAATACAGTGAAATAAATCATCAGAAGTGAAATGGCTCTCGGTCTCCTTTCCAACGAAGAGTGACCAATTAGAAAATGAATCCTCTCATTTAATACAGTCAAGGACATGCCCAGGCATTTGCCCCAGCCTCTCCCACAGTGCCCACACCTTGAGGTTGTGGGACTACACTCAAACCTCAGAACTGTCTCAGAACAAAAAAGATTCGAGTGGTCAGAGAGGCGTGAGCCTTGATCACATCAGCAGTTCCCCAGCTTGGGTTCTCTTTGAAAATTACTTCATCTCAGCTGGGCTCAGTGGTTCAGCCTGTAATCCCGCGCCTTTGGGAGGCGTTCACGACCCGCCCGGGCAATTTGGCGAGACCTCATCTATACAATAAATCAAAATGAGCCGGGTGTGGTAGCGCGCGCCTGTAGTTCCAGCTACTCGGAAGGCTGAGGCGGAAGGATCGCTGGAGCCCAGCAGGTCGAGGCTGCGGTGGCCGGGAGCGGCCACTGCACTCCAGTCTGGGTGACAGAGTGAGACTCCAACTCAAAAAAAAAAAAAGAATACAGTGAAATAAATCATCAGAAGTGAAATGGCTCTCGGTCTCCTTTCCAACGAAGAGTGACCAATTAGAAAATGAATCCTCTCATTTAATACAGTCAAGGACATGCCCAGGCATTTGCCCCAGCCTCTCCCACAGTGCCCACACCTTGAGGTTGTGGGACTACACTCAAACCTCAGAACTGTCTCAGAACAAAAAAGATTCGAGTGGTCAGAGAGGCGTGAGCCTTGATCACATCAGCAGTTCCCCAGCTTGGGTTCTCTTTGAAAATTACTTCATCTCAGCTGGGCTCAGTGGTTCAGCCTGTAATCCCGCGCCTTTGGGAGACTGAGGTGAGTGGGTTGTCTGATCCCGCGGGTTCGAGACCCGCCTGGGCAGCAAGACTTCATCTCTACAATAAATCAAAAAATCAGCCAGGCGTGGTAGCGTATGCCTGTAATTCCGGCTACTTGGAAGGCTGAGGCGGAAGGATCGCCGGAGCCCAGCAGGTCGAGGCTGCGGTGGCCGGGAGCGGCCACTGTACTCCAGTCTGGACGACAGAGTGAGACTCCAACTCAAAAAAAAAAAAAGAGAGAGAGAGAGAAAATACTTCATCTCAGAGCAGAGATTAATTGTTAACACTTCTCTATTTTCACTTCTCCTTCATGATTACACTTTCCCAAAGGGAAAAGGGTATGCAATTAAAAAAATCAAAGTGCACTGCATTTTTATGTGACTGTGTTCTTATAAATGAGAGCGGTTCACCAAGGCCAATTTCTCCATGGGTATTAATCAGGTTTGCAGCCCTTTGGTGGGCCACTTGCAGAGGCTGGGTTTCAGGAAGCCAAGATGTGTGAGTGACAAATTCATTCACAGCTGCTGTGTACTTTGACAGCTTTGAAAAGCACTCAAGGTCGTTTTCCAGCCTGAATGATAACAAGGGGGCTTGTTTAGGCTGCTGGTTTTGGCAGCCCTGGTTTTTATGTCCCATGGGTGAGCAATGAACATCAAGTCACCAAGAAGAGCCCTAGGCTGTCAGCAAAGGAGACCAGCCAGCAGTGAGGAACTGCCAACTCTGAGAAGGCAGCTGCTCCAAATAAATGCACAACCTCTTAGGGAAATACAAGCCACTTGGGAATGTGCTGTTCATGCCATGGGAAGGATTCCATTTCCCTGACACTGTCAAAGACACCAGAATTTCCCAGGCCCCCAGGATTTAAGCATTTCTGAATCAATCTCTTTCTTCACCCCATCACTAATTAATCACCAGGATAGATCTATTGAGCATGTTTATTTGAAATGCCTCTTCCAGCTCAGTGGCCATGTAGCCTAGTGGTGAAGTGCTCAGGTTATGTACCCAAGGTGCCTGCGTTGGAGTATGAATGTACCACTTATATCTCACACTAGCTGTGATTTTGAAAAAAGTAGCAAGCCACATCCCATTCTGAGTTTCTCATCTATAAGATGGAGATGATAATGGTATTCACCTCACAGTGTGGCTGTGAGGAAGAAATAGCTTAGCACAATGCCTGTCACACTGGCCAATTCCAGTGAATGCTGGCATTTGTTTTTTTGTTTTTCTATTATAACTGCTCCTTTGTCTCCATCTCCTAAGACGAAGCTGGGTCAGGTGTGGCAAGGCTCATTCCACCCCACACCTTCACCTCACCTTCGCCTCTGTCCCTGTATTCTACCCAATCATATCCTCTAGCTCCACTCTCATGGGGTTACGTCCCTGCCTGAAAAACTTCAGTGTCGCTGAACTGTCTGCAGAGAAAACTCAGAGTGCCTGCATGATATTCGAAGCCTTCATAAATTGGCTCCAACGGCCTCTCCCACCTGAATTCTCATTGCTTTCCAATAAAGCTCCTGTTTGGGTCAATGAACCTGCTGCCCTTTGTCCCCAGAGTCTACTCCTGTTCATTTTCACCACCGAGTCACTGCTCATGCTGTCCCCTGCACAGAACGTCTTCCCTTCAGCTTTGTCCCCTCTCAAACTCTGCTTATCCCTTATCAGTTCTCCTGGAAGCCTTCTTCTTCTTCTTCGTTTTTGAGTCAGAAGAGTCTCACTCTGTCGCCCAGGCTAGAGTGCAGTGACATGCTGCTCACAGCCATTGCAGCCTCAACCTGGTGGGCTCAGGCGATCCATCCACCTCAGCCTTCCAAGTAGCTGGGACTACAGGCCTGTGCCACCACACATAGCTAATTTTTAAATTTCCTGTAAAGATGACGTCTCGACATGTTGCCCAGGCTGGTCTTGAACCCGCAGGCTCTGACAGTCCTCTCACCTTGGCCTCCCAAAGGGCCTGGCCACCGGAAGCCTTCTTTGACTGCTCCTATCCATTCCTCTCTCTCCTTCTTCCCTACCTGAGGATCCCAAAGCAGTTTCTGTCTATCCCATACATTCTAGCACTTATAACACTCCCAAGCTGGACTGAATAGAGGACAGAACACAGAATAAGAAAGCTCAAGATCTATATCTGAGTTCTCTCTGCCACTCACTAGCCAGGTGACTTGGCCTTAGCTTCCTCCTGCATAAAGTCAGAATAATCTTCTCTGCTCTGCCTGTCTCCCAGGATTTTTGGGAAGATGAGATTGGATCACTGATGTGCAGATATTTTTTGCTACACCATTGTCAGATCTCACCATTATACCCATTGTTTCTTATGTCATTGTTTCATGATTGCTCTGCATAAGTCTTGTCTCCCCAGTAACATCCAGAGGAGGGAGGGATTTTTTTCTCTCCTGGTACCTATAGGACCTAGCATGGGTCACTCAAATACTGGCTCTTTATGAAGGATTTTTAAATACAGGCAATAATAGCGATTGCCAACACATCAAAGCTTACCTTGAGCAACATCATCATATGTATTCTGGTTGACCATCCGCTCCACGATTTTAGCAGCTTGGGACACTTTGGTGATATCATCACTCTGTGGGGATACAGAAGCCATAGAGCCTCATAAGCAAGCACCTGGCAAGGTCATATAGCCTGAATCACAGTCCAGACTTGCAATTGGTTCAGCAGTGCCTCTCTGACACTACCCACACCAGATCGCTCTGAGAAGATATCTCTGCATGCCTCAAGGCCCAGCTAACCTCACCACCCTTCCAAGAGTCCCTACCTCACAAATGGCACAAGAGCTCTGAGTTGACATGACTGGCCCCTGAATAGAACCTGCTTCATGCCCTTTTATTCTGAGCTTGTTTTGGAGAAGGTATACCTTTGAGCACAAGACTGAGGTAAGCACAGCAAGGTTATTGGAGGGGAGGGCAGACAAGGACAGGTTGGAGGCTTCTCTGGTCAAGACAAAGAGGTTTTATCAGCTCAAGGAATGACACAGACCCCCACTAAAGCCTCAAAGACCTTGTGGTCCAAGCTCTTCCTTAATCAAAGGCTGAGGAAGATACAAAGGCCCGAAGACATGCTTGTTATATGGAGTATAAGGCATTGGGGAAAAATGACTTATCTTGAACCAAAAAGATTATCACTGTGTGAAATTCCATAAATCCATGGGGTAAACGACTTGGCAGTTTAAGCAAAGAGTCTGGGGCTAATGAGAAAGGCCCAAAGAGTTTAGGGAAGATGGCAGGAGTAAACTAGTTGAGAGGCAGCCTCCAGTGCGGGTCCAGGGGGCCAGGCCCATGGTTCCTGAGGATTCGATCTCCCAGGGGTGGCAGTGTCAGGCAGTGGTTAAGATAAAGGGTTCTAAAGCCACACAGACCTGCATTCCTATCCAATTCCACCAATCAGGAGCTGGTGCCAATCTTTGACAAGTTCCTTAAGTCTTAGAGTCCGCAAGATAAGTGGGGATAGATGGTGGCATATGCTTCATGGGGTCATTGTGAGCATTAAATATAATAATATGTGATATTGTTTAACCCAGTTCCCAGTGGTGACAGTGTTAGAGGAAACATGCCAACTAGCACAGCAGAGGGTTATAAAGTCACACCTGGAGAACTGTTCCCTGAGGACCTTTTGTCAGAACTCAAACTGACTCCAACTTTATCTCAAACAACTGACCAAGAAGGACAGTCACTGGAGTCTTATAATCACAGTTCTCAGAGTTCACCTGGTCCCAGCCACTCCTCCTACTCTCTGACCCATAACAGGAATCCTCTCGCCTCAGCAGCTTCCTGGCAAGCTCAGTCCTCCCCAGGTCAGGCAGCATTTTCTATGGTCAGACAGCCAGTTATCTGAAGCCAACTTCCCTGAGTCTTTTACCTATGGTCCTAACTCCATCCTCTGCCACAAGGAATCATGTGCCTGCTAATAGTTCCTCTGGTGTAGGAAGACAGTGCCTCATTCCCCCAAGTTAGCACTTTCTCAGGTGACTCCTTCCCAGCTCTGCCAGTCATGACATGGCATGTTAATAGCAACAATAACCACCACCTATTGGTCAGTGGCATGCAAGTATGATGTTAGTTAGGAGATGTACGTGTGTTATCTTGGGTTCTCATGACAACCTTGCAAAGTAGATATCATTAGGATGTCTTCACAGATGAGAAAACTGAGGTTCCAGAAATGGTAAAGCTAAGATATAAGCCCAGGCCTGTGGACTTCAAGGTCCCTGCTCTCAGCACCACACAGAAAACCAGTGCCTCTCCAGCCTGAACACCTCTCCTGGACCTAGGAGACCCTGGGCTCCAGATGTGTTCTCAGGAGGGAGTGTAGTGGGCTATCACAAGCCTTCTCCTGGGTACTGTGCTACTTGAGCAGCCATATCTCTTTATTGGTTCTCACTGAACCTGTGGTCTATGAGCCCTTTCCTCTATTCCTGACTAATTGTTCAGATCAGACAAGTGTGCATTTATTTCTGTGCATTTCCTCAAATCATTGAGACAGAAACCTGAGGTTTACCACTGGAGCCCTTCTTACAGGTTATCATGATGTTATTCTCTTTTCTCCCCTCCAGCACACTTGAGATTTATACCAACTTAATTAGACCTGGTTCTTTGGGGGCAGGGGAAGGCATCACTTGGCTTGAGCACTGAGCCTGGGCAAAGGGGAAGGTGACTGCCATTCCTACTCTATTGAACAGGCAGTCTGGCTCAGCACTTGGGATTCCCAGTTAGAGCTCAGTTCCCTTGGGGAAAGGTTACACCAGTGGGAGTATTTGCAGGTTGGGGAGAAGGTTGTATGTGTCCTGCCTACAGTGTGGCTTCTTGGTCCAGAGGGCTGGAATCTGCTTGGATCAGTCTTCTATAGTAGCCAAACTGGAAGAGCCCAGTGTGATAGAGAGAAGCGGTCTCTCCTCCCTGAGGATATTACATGCCAACTCTGGCAGGGTTTAGACTCCAGGTCAGATTCCAGTTTCAGGGACTTTTCTGGTTTCTGGGTGATTATAGTTGGAACTCACAGAGTTCATAGTCAGACTCTTGGTGGATCTTCACATGAACCCTGACCCAGGCCAATGACCCTTGTGAAGCCTCTAACCTTTAGAAAATGGTGCAGGGAAAGCCAAGGATCTGCACAGAGCAGCCATCCTTCACTTCAGAGTTCCAGTACCCGGCACGGCCATGGTCACTGGGTGCTTGGTCAGTGATTGAATAAAACTGAATTGAGACCGCTTCTATTAAGTCAAGGTAGGGGACCTTCAAACTCCCCTAAATGAGGCATTACCAGGATAATGGAACAGAGAATTGGGTGGAAGTGGGTACACCTGAAACAAAGGAAGCAGAACTTCCTTTAACTGGTCCACTTCTATTCTGGAGTGGAGTAGAACCACTTCCCTGAGAGCGGTCACGGGAGCTCTCCAGGGTGCTGAAACCAGCCCCCAGCTTCCTGGGAACTTTGTCCCTCCCACCCCATTACAGTTCAAATCCATCCCAATCCACACCAGAATTCTGGCTCCTTAACCAGATTTATCTCTGTTTAAGAGACAAATGTGGCCTTTCAGCATCTCCTTATGGTGACTCGCCCTGCAGCGACTCCCTACAGTTGCACCACTCTAACTCCCATGATGATCCCCAAGCCTATACTAGCTACACCCACAGTAAGCCACCCGGCCATGACCTTTATAATGACTCCTACATGACTCTGCATGGTAAATCCAGCCCAGGGTATCCACATCCTTCAGGGCTTCAGGAGACTGCAGAGCTCCCTCCACATTCGTTGGCCTGTGATCATCTCTAACCTAGTTCTTGGCCCTGAAGACTCATCTTAAGTACAGGGCATGAATAAAACCAAAGACTGAAAGTCAAAAAGCATCTCACCTTCTCAAACCCCATGAACTCTTAAGATCCCTGGGAAGGAGTGCCTTATCCTCACAGACCACCTCCACTCTGAGCAGACTCCCCAGATCTTCCAGAATGCATACAGTGCCTTTAATAAGATTCATGTCTTCTGTCATCCTCTAGCTCAACAACCCTGAAACCCTGCTAGCCTCCAGACCTATATCAAACTGGAGAGAAGTGTGGAATGCTAGAGGCAGTTGTAGCTCTCCTCACACCTTTTCCAAGGAAAGAACTATTTATACCTCAACATTAGTTCCTGATTTAAGTACCTGTGAAGCCCTCCCAGACAGCCAGGCTTCTGTTTGCCCAGAGGCCGAGGCCCCACTTAGACATTCTGTGACAGCTGTGCAAATTATTACCAAACCTGGGATTCCATAGATGTCAGCTTCCTTGTGGCCATCTTCCCTGCTTTTTTAGCCACTGGGGTCTTTGTCTTCTCCTTCTCTTTGGTCTTTTCCTGCTTCTTGAGCTCCTCTATGTAGGCATCATAGATCTCCCACTAGGCAAGGAGATGAGAAGGATTATTTTGGGGTGCAATCCTTACTCAAACAGCTCCTCTTCAATATGCAATGCTTAAGAACTTGATCATGCTAACCCCGGTCACAAACATCCTCTATTTAACCCATTGTAATTATGTATTCAATGTCTGTCTTCCCTGCTAACTGTCAGCTCTGCAGCAAGAACGAAAGAGTTTGTAGGACACCTCTGGGCTGAGTTTATCCACCCTGAAGCCCAGAGGCTGAATCTTCAACTGGAGATAAACATTGTTCTAGACTGCAACACCCACCAGGCAGAAAAATGGGCAGACATCAGGCTAGCTCACATTTTTCTGTGATTGACATGACTTCAAATCAGAAAATTTTTAAAATGTCTCCTCCCATGGAGCTACCATAAACATACTGGCTCAGGCTGGCTGTCTACAGCACTGACCATACATCAGCATTAAAAAGAGATAAGCAAAACATAGGGGAACACCTGCCAATTGGATCTGACAGCAAGAGAAGCCCCAGGATAGCAGCAGAGGAAGCAGCAAGGATCTTGGACTGGGCAAATGCCCCAGATCACACCGTGTGCTCCCCAGCACTGGGCATTCACTGCCACCTGGAGGCCAGATAGATACACCTTGCATTTAATAATTTGGCCAGGCACAGTGGCTCAGTCTGTAATTCCAGTACTTTGGGAGGCCAAGGCAAGAAGATTGCCTGAGCCCGGGGGGTTTGAGACCAGCCTGGGCAACTTGGTGAGACCTTGCCTCTACAATAAAAGTCACAAAAAAATTAGCCAGGCATGGTGGCATGCGTCTGTATGCTACTTGGAAGGCTGAGGCAGAAGGATCGCCTGAGCCCAGCAGGTCGAGGCTGCAGTG